TTTCAAGGTACATACCACTTTAATTTCACCATGTTATATGACTTCTGTTTAGTGTCTTCATTAATGAGGTCTTATCACTAAGTTTTGAAAGATATCCAGGATATTGCCAATAACCTTTAGTGTTGGGTATCTATAGTACTTCACTGAACAACAACTGCAAAAGAATTACCCTTCCTATCACTGGACATTTTATTTCTTAGCTTATGGTATCAGAGAAGACCCTGTTGCTCTTCCACAAGGAAACTCCATTATAATTTAGGACTGTGTGCAGACAACTTGGATATTTTTCAATGCCTGATGTCTCCACTGTCTGATACTAAACTGGCAGTTGTAGTCTAGCATTTTTTTTTACACTTTAAAACTAAAGCTCATAAGTTTAAGAAACTTGTCCATCCACATTTTATTTGAATAAATATTTCAATATCTCTACTGTGGTATGTGTAACCACTAGAAATAATGTATCCATGTTGTATTGATGGTTTTGGTAAAAGAACTCAAAGTGAATAGTCATTTCTCAAACCTTATAGTGTTTTCTATATCATTACATATTTTCATGTGCCATGTGATATATATGTCTATAATACTTACTTTATGGAAACTTGCTATCTAAATTCTTGATATCTAAATTGATAAATGGTCAATCCCTATAGTGATTCATCTACCTGATGGTCTACTGGACATGCAGAAAACAATGCAGCTCTCTCAGTGCCCAACTCTAGTGAACACAGGGAGCATGATTCTTAATCGTGTTGTTGGGTGTCTTACTTAAAATATATAGTGGTCTCCAGGAGGCACACATAATTAAGTCATACCACACCCAACCGTGTATTCTTCTGCTGTGTCTCTAGGAAGAAGACACTAGACTTTGAAAATGAGAGTCCTTACAAAAATAACCATTTCAATATATCATGGTCACTCAAAACTTTGTGTGAATTATATGTCATTGCACTGCAATAATAGCAATATGTATGTTACAATTTAATTACATAATTCTGAGTACTGGTAATACTTGGTGAATAGAGTGAAACTTAGTTTTTATACTCTGAAAAGAATATTTTTTGTTTGCTTGTTTTGAGACAGGGTTAAAGCTTCGGTGCCTGTGCTGGAACTAGCTCTTGTAGACCAGGCTGGCCCTGAACTCACAGAGATTTGCCTGCCTCTGCCTCCCAAGTGCTGGGATTAAAGGTGTGTGTCACCACTGCCCGGCTTCTGGAAATATTTTTAAGCAATATATTCAATATGTACTGGATTTTCAGAAGTTTGTTCTCAAAATCATTTCAGTTTAATTGGAAAGATTCCATAGTTAGGTCTCCCTTGTTCCGATCTACTTGAAGTGCATGCCTAAAGTTCAGCTTGTGCTCAAAAGAGACATTTTAAATTTTTTCCCAATAATCTATTAAGATTCATATTAATTTCTTTTAATCTTTTCTCTTTTTTAAAAACTTTTTTTAAAAAATTTTATATACCAATCTGAGTTTCTGCCTCTCCTCCTCCTGCTCCTCCACCTTCTTCCCATCTGATGCCCTATCTACTCCTCTAAGAGGATAAGATCTCCCACGGGGAGTCAACAAAGTCTGACACTTCACCTTAAGGAAAGACCAAGGCCCTCCTGCCTTGTATCCAAATGAAACAAGTTTCCTCCAGAGGGACTAGGCTCCAAAAGGCCAGTTCATGTCCTAGGATAAATCCTGATCCCACTACCAGAGGCCTCACTTACTGCCCAAGTCACACAACTGTCACCCACATTCAGAGGGCCCAGTTTGGTCCTCTGTGGGTTCTCCAGCTGTCAGTCTGGAGTCAGTGAACTCCCACTAGCTTGGGTCAGCTATTTCTGTGGGTTTCCCCATCATGGTGCTGACTCCATTGTCCATATTATCGATCCTCCTCTTTGACTAGACTCCAGAAGCTCAGCCCAGTGTTTAGCTGTGGATCTCTGCCTCTGTTTCCCTCAGTTACTAGATGAAGGTTCTGTAATGACAATTAAGGAAGTCATCAATCTGATTACAGAGTATGGACAGTTCAGACACCCTCTTCACTACTGTTAATGTCTTAGCTGTCATCCTTCTGGATTCCTGGGGATATTCCTAGTGCCACTTTTCTCCCTAATTCCATAATGGCTCCCTCTTTCAAGGTATCTGAAAGAGCTGTTTTGACATCATGTAGAAGCATCTTAAATCCTGAAGTACAGAGCAAAAGCTTGATCTATGATCCAAGAGAGCACACATAGCTTGATGTAACACAGGAAATAAGCTTTGCCTTGGAGTTTACACATCCCAAAAATCTGTTCATCTGCTTCACAGTGTTCTTGGGTCTTGCTTGTGTTTTGTTTCTCTCCCAGTTAGAAATTACATTTAATGCAGTCAGATGCACATGACATTTTGCTCATCAGTATAAACCCAACACTTGCCAGAGTGGCTGAGTAAGTGGACAAGAAAAAATTGTATCACTTAAGTGACCAATAACAGCTCTCTGGAGTGACCTATAAGTTGGGGAAACAGTAGTTACTGTAAACTTTTGAAAATGTATTATTCACTCAATGTGACAAGGTTAAGCTATTTTATATTCTACCAGCATGACTGTGAACTAAATTTGAAAACAAATGTTAAACAAGTTGTGCTAAACAGAATTAAAATTTCCTAAAACAGTCCTAAAAAGTTTGCTCTGCTTAATTTGATCTTTACAATTTTTAAATTTTATTTGTGCAATTAAGAGAAGTAAATGGTTCTAAGTAGTAATTTTGGAAAAGTCATTTTAAGCATGGGAGTAGATGAGTTCTCAATGGAGCACAAGCATAGCTGTAATGGCTAATTTGATTTACCAATATTCCCTCATTGTGTGTAGGTTCACAGTATATATAGTAATATAAGTTATCATACACCTGTGGTGAAGTGGTTTCCATGTTTTTCATGGTTGGCTTTTTATTCTTGTCTTTCATGTACACTGGTCATGATTGTGGCAAAGATTTTTATATAGAAGGAGCAGTTCCAGCTGCCTGCTGGGTATGTGGGGAAGGTGCTAGGTTAGAGACATGATGCTGCTAATGCATGTTATTAGAAGATATTAGAATGGTTCTTTTGGTCATCAATCAAAGGATCAATATTTTTAAAGAAGATTTAGAACATAATTATTTTCATTAGCTGTTGGTTGACCATCACTTGAGAGTAAGACATGGATTAAAAAAATCACTGATAGATTTGAGAGAAAACCAAACAAAGAATTACTAGTCAACTTTACATTGCTGTGACACAGTCCTTGAGGAAATCCCATTAAGAAGAGAATATGTATAATTGATTAACAGTTTAATAGGGTTTTAGGTACCTTGAAGGTGTTGTTTTAGTCCTATGAAAGTATAGTTCATTATGTTGTAGTCAAAAAGAAGTGTGTGTGTGGCAAGGGGTGGGGGTTGCATTCTAGTGTCTCAAGAATTTCAGGCAAAACTTAGTAACAATTCCCCTCTTTCACCATGTCTTTCTTGTAGAGTTTCTAGAGTTTTTACCTACGAATCACTGTGCCAGTGTCCTCCAAAACATAAATATTTGTAGATATGCCAGTTCTAAACAAGAACAATGGGAAATGCTTAGAAAACTTTAAAGGGAAAAGGGTTTATCTTTTACTTGTGGCTGGCATATGCAGTGTGATTCATGTTAATTATTTCTGTCCTAGTTATTGTGAGTTAAAGCACCTATCATACTTTCTGACCCAATATGAATCTCCACAAACAGGAAGAGAAAAGAAGTGGTTGAAATTCCAGGAAAGGTTCAGTAGTGATTGAGTGCCATTGATTTTACTGCTTAAATAGTCTCAATTAAGGTTGAGATCTTGTCAATAATAACGTGCTCAAGTTCACTTAGCAAATTAGTAATGGGACATTTTTTTTCCATTTCTACTAATGTACCATCCTATTTTAAGAACATTAAATGAATGTGTATTCAGTGACAGAATGGAGACTAGAAATGTTTTAGGGACTGAACGTCTCTCTCTTCTTTGACATATGTCTTGAGCCACAAGAAGACAAGAGGACTATATTATATAATTTGAATGAGATGAATTTGAAACTAGACCAAATAAGCCTTGTTAGACAAGAGTGAAGAGATACCATGGGGGGGGTATGATAAGGAGAAATTTAGGGAAGCATGACAGGAGACATTTGGCTGTTTCTAACCTCATGGTTTCTATGCTGCTTAGAAGTTTAATGGCATTTAGACATTGAGCAGTATCATAGTATTCGCACTGTTTATCATTTCCAATGAAAGTTGTCCTATATAGAGTGTGAGCCTTGCTTAAAGAATCTTGGGTTTTCCTTAGTCTTTGTAGGATAGATCACAATCTTACCCTGCTTTTATAAGGTGACCCATACTGACTTGCTGTGATTCTATGGAAATTGTGAATTGCCTTATTTGCAATCAAACCTTGTAATGATGACTGTTTTGGGATATCTGTACACTGTGTGAAGTATTGCTCTGACTAGTGTAAGAAAAGGTTGAACAGGCATGAGATAGGCAGGACTCCTGGTCAAACGACAGGAACTCGTGATGAATCTAGGTGCATAAGGGAAATAAAAAGAAGACACGAAGGGAGTCGGATATACATAATGACAGAAAGGTAAAAAGTCATGAGGACAAGCATAGTTTAATAGAAACAGGTTATAAGAACTATTTAAGGACAAGACTAAGCTGTAGGCTAAGCTTTCGCAATTAATAAGAAGTTTCTGTGTTATTATTTAGGAGCTGACTGGTGAGATAGAAAAAGACTAGTTATCTACATCTCTATGCTAGTGACAGATTTTCTACATTTCTGCTAGTGATATATTTATATTTCAGGAAAAAAATAAAATGTCAACCAAATTGGCTTGTAGATATCAACATGTCTAGATTGTCTATTTTATTGTTAATGAAGGATTCCACACAGACAAAATCCATTCAAAGTTACAAATTAAACATTGGTTAAAACAAGACAAATTACCAAAAGTCACCTCAAAATTAGATTGGAGGTCTGGAAGATTAACAGTCTCTTCCATAGAGAAGTTGGCACTTCAGGCGCCTGAGATTAGAGTGAACCTCACGTGAATCTTTCTTCAGGCACTGGAGTAAGTCAAACAAAGCAAAAAAGCGAGTGTCTTCATCAGGTGACTGCAAGGATGCCAGTCCATTCCAGGTGGGATATATGTAATCTGAGGATCCAGGTTGAATCTAAACACCCAAAGACATTCATTTATCATCATTATTGTTTGCTTGGTGTTATTTATTTTAAATGTGGAGTGACTCTTGGCATGAAGTTAGAAATGTAAAATCTCAGGCAAAGGTATGAATTTTTAATGTGTATGACTCAGTATGAAAATTATACAAGAGAAACTCTTGGATATATTTCCTGTATACAGCAGATACTATATCAAGGGTGGTCTTGCATACAAGGCAGATAGAGAAGCAAGAAGGTGCTACCTGTCTGTAAACATGGACTTTACCATGGGACAATAACTGTTCTCTCCTGAGGGAATTTAAAAACGTCCTCAGCAAAGGCCCAGACTTTGTTTCCCTGATCATGAAGGAAGCCATTGCCCTTCTGTACTTTTCAGCTAAATCAGTTTGCCCACAAAATACATGGAATGGAAATCTCAGACTTGGTGAGTACCGCACCTGATGCTTTCAGGTGAAGATAGTCAAGAAAAGCTTGTGTTGAGGACATCTGGTGATGTCAGGAGTCTTTCCGCTTGCCACAGAAAGGTAGTTTCTTAAAGGGCTATAAAGAGCACTTGTTTTGTATTGAGATTCCTTATGTGTAAAGTACTTAGTAAAGTACCCTAGAGATGGATAGCACTGCCAGTTAAGTTTTGGTAAAGAAGCTGGATGATTAAATTTTGCAATGTAATATAAGGCAGCTCTGCATTCATTTCTTACTGCCATGGGGACCTATCTGATGAATGAGATAAAGGAAAGGAATATAAGAAGACTACTACATACCTTGCTGAGTATCCTCTTTACAGCCTCTAGAAGTCCTCTGATTTTTCCTTCAATGTCTTTTGCTTTGGATATGATATCATTAGGGGCATCTTCCATATGACTTAGTACAGTTGCGATGTAATGCAGAGGGTCAGTCCAAGCACCCAACATGCCAATCGTCTCTTTCAGAAGGAATACTCCCTATATACCCATTATTAAACAATTGTATCAATTGGTAAAATATATCAGAGTTAGCCCATGTGGCATATGCTCAAAGAAACTAGACTAAAATATACATTTATTAAATTTATGTAGCTGTCAGTTGTTATGAAAATTTCAAAGTTTTGTCATTTGTCTATGGTTTGATTGAGTCACACTAAATATGCGTTATTTGAGTGAGTATTTTTCTTATGATACATATGTTTTATAATATTTCTGTTTCCATCTGAAATTCTACAATCTGTCCTCCTGGCATAAACAATATTCTTTTATTTGCTTGTGTTTATTTGCTTCTCCACAAGTAACCAAGACTTCCCAGGAACTGAATAGATGGTCATAGGACCTGTGTCATACAGAATTGATACCAACACTGCACTTCAGTAGAAAGTGGCCCAAATGCTTTCCCCACAGGAATGCTTTTGTAACAAAACATCAGGTTCCTCACTGACTGAGTTTATTTAAATTTACTTTTAGACAGTGGAACAAGAATTCAATGAAGACAACTGGGCCTTTTTATGTGTGCTTTCCGCATGCTATATGACACATAGATCTTTCCTCTTGCTGAGCAGCCCATGTGTGACCATGTACAGGTGAAGCACCATGAAACAGCCTTTAATAAGTAATTTAATTGATGGAAATCATAAGAAAATTTGTGGATTGATGGAAAGCACAAGAAAATTTGATTCCCTAGTGTGTGCTCACTGCCAAAGTCACATGAAAATCATCCTTGAGTAAAAGGTGCCATGCTGCTGCCTGATAGCTAATCTCTTAATAATGAAAACAAACACTAGATCGGATTCCACTGACCCACTAGTGTCCAACATTTTGACACTGTGATATGACATCAACAACAGATGTGTTTGATTAAAGCAGGAATCAGAAAGGAGAAAATATAATGATTACAAATTGAAAATGGTTTGATGCATGAACCTTGTCATCAGAAATGAGTACATAGTTGTATTCTGAGAGTTGTAGCGTTTTACAGGGAACCTCTTGTTCAGCTGACTTTCAGTTAAGGCTTGGGAGAAGACAGATATTTTCTCAAGAACTGGACATGCAAGTTAGATGCAACCAGGGAGATCTTGAAAGTTGAGATTTCTTTGTAATTAGTAATATGCAAAGTAGTGAACACAGTGGCATATCATATGTATAGTCAGTGAAACTGTATTTGTATTCCCTATATACAAATATGAATATATTTAAGCATTGTGCAATTTAGTTCAAAGTTCCTACAAAAATAATAACTATAATCCTAGCTATAGGCATTGGTAAAATAGTTCACCTTCATACAATTTATGGTTCTATGAAAATATTATTTAATCTGCAGTTTTTCTTATAGTTTCCCAACTGTATAATGTGATTTTTCTTTAATTATTCCTTCTTTTTTCATTCCTCTGCATGTGTGAAATCCATAACTATTTTCTTACCCATAACCACCTTCAGTGTGGCCAAGTCAGGGAACTGCTTAGTTCTTCAGCTTAAAATCCAAGCTGTACTCACCCAGATCTGCTGGGCTCCATCCTTAGGTATCAAAACAGATAAGGCAGATGTGTGACAGCCAGTAAGGTCTCTTTCAGGGAACCACCGGCCTGGTGTATATCGTACATCCTCCATCTAGGAAAAAAAAAATCAATTTTAATTTGTACATAACCAGAATATTGATACATTTGCTGTGTGTGTGTGTGTGTGTGTGTGTGTGTGTGTGTGTGTGTGTGTGTATAAAACCTTTGTGTTTGTGTTGACAGAGAGATGGGGAGGGAGAGGGAGATCAGAGGTTATGTTCAGGTTTTGGTCCTTACATTATCTCCTCGGAGACACTGTCTCCTTTTGTCTGCCATAGCACACAACAAGCTGAAGGGACTGGAACTGCCAGAGATCACCCTGCTATAATTTCCCACTGGCCTTACAGACTTACATTATTAAACCTGGCTTTCTGCAGATTTGGGGGATCCTGACGTCCTCAAACTGATTTTTTTATCTTCTTTTTCCACGTCAATTCTGTAATCCCTTTTCCTAACCTCCCCAACCACCTCCATCTAACCTCCCAAACAGTTTGGCCCCAATTGTTTTCTTTGAGATTTCAAGAACTTCTATTCTTGTTCTCTTTCTCAGTTAAGGGGGCTTTCCTGATGGTATGTATTATGTGATTCTGCTGACACATGCTTTCTGGTAAACTATAGGGCTCTGTGAATGCTGATTTGAAGATCCATTTTGTAAAAAAAAAAAGCCAAATATAAGTGAGATACTTACAAATATCCTGTGCATTTCTGCAGTGAGCTCTTTGATATTAGAAGATTCGGTCATGGCATCATCCAGAAGCTCATGTAGAGACATCCCATCATAGCCAGACACAGGAACAGAGAGTGCCTTCTCCCACAGGAAAAAGTTCAACATCCACAGCACCAGGAGAGTCCCTGCTATATAGAAACAGAAGCTAGAATACATTCATCAGAGGTGATCAACACTAGTATAATCTCTGCCTAGTGTCCTTGAGTGTATGTAGTAGTAAATAAATACCTATGACTGAACGATTCAAATAAACAATTAATTTAAATTTCTATATAAAAAGGTGATTAATTGTCAAATTCTTGGATTACTATCAAAGCAACCACCACGTGAGACTATGATGCATAATTCAAACTGTGATATAGAAAACAGGCTTTGCCTGGAAGCCTGTTGAACTCTGGAGCTATTTCACAGACACACAGAAGTGTTCACATTTTCAGGAAGATGATGCTGCTACCCAGGATGTCCAAGCTTGATTTTGCTCAGCCTGATACATCCACTAATTTCAAACTGCCTTTGAACCACACATTCCAGAAATCGTTCTATTCAATGTATCCCCTTGACCACAGTTTTGAAGGGCCAGTTCTTGACTAATCTTTTCTTCCTCCTTGAAGCTCTCCAAGTCTAATTTGAACCTCTCAAAGGGTGTTTATTTCTTGTTTTGGTTTGTTTTTCATTTGTTTGTTTTGTTTTTGGATCAGTTTTCCCCACAAAGGTTTGCTCACACCGCTTGTTTTATCCCCCCTCTTCCCCCCTCCCCCCCGCCCCAGCAGAGAGTGATGGCAGCTGCAGAGACATTAGCCTCTGGGTTTGTTTCTCATCTTGCTAAATAATTGCTTGACTTCTTTGGATGCAGTATCTACTTCCTTGGTAAGTATCACTACTTCCCCAGCAAATTAAAATACTTTGATGATTTTTCAACCTTTCTGTTTCCCTAGATTATCTACTTTGACCACCAGTTTTCTTGGATTTGTCTCTAGTTTCCTCTGATGCCGTCGTTTGTGAACTAGAATCTGATTTTCCTTTTGGTTCCCCTGCAATAAGGAAATTTGACCATAATCTCTCTTCTTTCTTTTGCTTTGCATTCTTTGGCCTAAGCTCCCTTTCTTATCTTCTTTCTTATCTTCACTGCTACTAACTCCAAATTCTTCCTCACCTTCCTAATCTAAAAGAGGCCACTTTGCCTGATCTTCCAGTCTGAAATTCTCTGAGCCTGTATTCTTTTTCTTTTGGTTTTCTCATCATCCAGTTCATCTTCCTTCACTAATTCATTGATGTCATCTTCACTGTGAGTACAGTAATAGCACATTTTCCTAATTCTCTTCTGACATGGAGAAGTCTTTGGAATTGAATTCTGCTATGTAGTTGAGGCTTTGGTCCTGGAACTCCAGAGGCCCTCAGCCCCTTCCCACAAATAGCCAAGTCTACGGAGAGAGCACAGAGTTACAGAACCAGTATCTAGAGTAGCCCTCTAAGACAGATCTCATGTAAACAGTTTAACTCTCTATGCAAAAGAAACAGGATATAAAACACAAGTTTAAGTTATGCGTTACATTTCTTGGCACTTTCGTAAATAATTACTGAAATATAAAATGTGGTTCTCAGAAACTTAAATTCCCCATTTTCCCGATGCACTAAATGTGAGTCCAGAACATACCAGGTCATTTTCAGAGATTTTCACTTGAAGAACTCCTAAATGCAAATGCTCACAATTAAATGGATCTAAGCATTTTGTAGTATATATATGGCTAAAAGTATATTTTGTCTATATAGTAAAGTCATTAATACATAGTCCATAGATTTTTCATTTCCTGTAAATATGATGGTTATTTTGCATATATACAAAATTATATCTACATGCATACATGCATATTTTTCTATGTGTATGTGTGTGTGTGTGTGTTTGTGACATCTATTTTCAGCTAGGAAATTCTCATAATTTAAGAGGGAGGGAAAGAGTCAAATGCTCTGTTCTCCATTTCATAAAATCCATGACTGACTTGATTTCTGTTTCCTTCCAGCATCATCTACAGAATTTAACACCAGCAAGAGTTAACATGGTAGTGTCATTCAGTTTACCCCAGTTTGACAAAAAGGTTAAAACAATGTAGAGAGCGCTCTGCCATCACTCTCCACGTTGGACTTCAGTGCTGTAAATTAGAAAGGTTGATTCAAGCGGGCAAACTCATGTTTAAGATTCAGAAAACAAGAAAACACTTTCTTCTTCTTTCTAGTGTCATGACAATTTAAACACATCAATTCTAGTGTTTCCAGTACATTCTCACTCTCTGACACATCAATTGTACTGTATTTTTCCTCCCTCTGGGAACTGCGCTGGGACTTAAAGATTTTTAAAAACTACCCATGGTCTCTAACCATTAGATACCATGATAACATCCCCTCTCTTATGTGTTTGTGTGTGTGCGTGTGTCTGTGTGTGTGATGTTTTCTAGTTTTTAAGTTATATAACTAATTGGCTTGAAAGTTGCTAAGTGAACTGGGATGACCAGTTTGCCAAAATCAAGGAGTAATCTCTCCTTTTACCTCCAGAATTAGAATTATGAGCTTCAGTGATATCATGGGCCTCTTACCGTTCTCTTGTTTCCTTTAGCCCAAGGAAGATGCTGAATCATCTTAGAAATTGCTCCTTGTCTCAAGGAGAGAACAATAATTCCCATGTTTAAAAACTGTTCTAAATGATTACTTTGCTCTTAAACAGGTTATTTTTAGGTTGTAATCTTTCCTGTAAGTCTTTGTTGTGTTTCTTTTCAATTAAATATATGTATTAGCACACAGGATAGGATCCTGGAGAACTGATGGATTGATTACCAGATTTGCTTAGAAGAGCATTAGTAAGAGCTTACTTACAGAAGCAAGGTTGACTCAAAGACAAGCGCATCACAGAAAACTTCCACGATGGTAGCTGGGCCACTGGAGAAGGCTGCTGCACTGGAGTCCTGGGCTCAGTTTCCTTACTGCCTTTTATATACTCTGGCAGATGGTCCCAAGGCTGCTCACTAATAGAGCAGGAAGGAAATAAGGGTTAAAGGCCTAGGTAGGGTTACACTTACTCTCCTGCTGCAGGGAACGTTAGCATTGTCACCACAATTATCACAGAGCTGCTGTATCTGTGTTTCTGCCATTCACAGGGTAGGGCTATGGGGTATGGCTACAGGATATGACTACAGGATATGACTACAAGATATGAACTGGCTTCAAGCAGAAACCATCTTTATTCCATGACTAGTGATGATGGTCACATCAGATCAGTATATTGCTGTCCTTCACAATAACTTTGCCTCTTTACTCAGACTCTTGCATTCATTTGGTAACGTTTGATTTTTTTCTGACTGTGAAGAAGGTGAGATATGTATATGAATTTTACTAAATTTAGGGAACCCTATAACAGCATCAGTCATTTCTTCTCTATGGTTTAACTGATTGTTACACTTTTTCTACAACCAATGACTACTGTAAAGATTGTCTCTGTGTAAACTAGGCAGAAACAGAAATCTTTAGAAGGTAGTTTGTTATGCATGTTACACCTATTTCAGAAGGAGAATGACATCATAGTGCAGTCTGCAACCGTATAAGTTAGATTTTTACCATGTACATATATTTTATGTATATAATGAGTTTGTTCGTGTAGAAGTGGCATTAGATAAAAACAGAAAATTGCTGATTGCCACCAGAACTATTATATCAGTTACTTTTGGTAGTCATGCCGTGCTGTGCTTGTTCCTGGCATTAACATTTAACTGAGTTTTCCCATTGCCAATTCTGAGCCAAGCATATTTTCTGGCATCTTTGGACTGTGAACGCCAGTAAACACAGAGAAAATTTCCAGTTTAAGAACAGTCTGATTTTTCCATGGCATGGAGCCAGAAAATGAAGTGTTTTTAAATCGTACTAATATGTATCCAGCTGTAGTTTCACCAGCCTCAGTGCTGTAAGTGTTCTTAGCGACCATGTTGTCCACTAAATCATAGCAAGATAAGATATATCAGGAATTTGTACTTTTTCTTTAAAAAAAAAAAACAAACTTAGAACTATGAGAAGTACCTTTTCCCAGTGCATGTGTTTAACACCTTCCTAATTCTTTTTAGTTTATTTTTAAAATTCCCTCCACAGTTCTCCCTGCCCCACCCCTTCTTCTGCACCCATTTACTTCCCCCTTGTCATCTCCCCATTCAATTCTTTAACAGCTGTTTTCAACTGCTAATCTATCAATTTTCTACTGATACACTGACAAATGGCTAAGACAGGTAAAGATCAATTTATAGGTCAGCTCTGGAGGTCAGCAGTTGCACTGAAGTTCCAGGAATGCTTAAAGCATGAATGTGTAAACTAGCAAATGAATTTTGCATCTCGGCGTATTCTAAATTGAATCTTTAGGAGAGTTTATTAAATTATGAATAAGTCTCATTCTCCTATCACTTGTTTCTTCTGAAGGGCATAGTTGAGTACATTAGTGTGACTATCAGATTCTACTGAGATTAGCAGTTTGCCATTTATAGTTATTCTTCAGGAGCTGTGAAATTTGACCTTCCTGCCTCTATGTTATGTAGTCACTGATATGATGAGGTGGAGTTATAGCAAGTGAAAGGTAGACTAGCTGTGTACCAAAAAGTTTCCACTTCAATTCCTCATCCATTCACACAATCATTTTTAACTGAATGTTTGGCCACGTGTTCATTAGCTGCTCATCTGCAATGACTATTTCCTGAAAGGGCCCATTTTGGGTATATAGTCTTGTTTTTATAGATTTATGTCAGGACAATCATGGCTTCCTAACACCTTCTCCTTGTCAAGCAAAATGTTGTATATGTGTGAAGCACATTCCCTGATAAACATTCTTCCACAAAATTTCATGTTCCAGACAGAATTGTATACAGCATACATACTCTTTGGGAAAGGCACTATTTTCCACACTTAGGATAATTTAACCATTTTCATCTTTACTTCTCTGCACTTATTCATCTACTGTTGTCTATGATTCAGAAGTTTTGGTTTTAAAGTCTTGCAGTGAAATGAGGCATGCTACATTTATATGTTATCTTGAGCTGTTTTTTTTTTCTTTTAACATTGGGTCTACAGGTCTCGTGCAATGTCCTTGCATGCAGTGGATATTTCACCCTTCTATGGATCGGCCCCAGTATGTTCCCATTCCTGAGGATTTTCTGTGCAGAAACGAGTGCAGTGGGAATCCCTGGCTCATGTAGAATCCTGAGATTGGATTGTTCTCTCTTTTCCTCTTCGAATCCCCTGAATTCTTGGATGCAGCATATGACCCTCTGTTAGTACTTCTCTCAGATTTTCTGTCTTCCTCAGAGCACAGATATTGGCACATTTTCATTCAGAGACTTTTGAAACTAATGTTGAACACATATTTCATTATATGAAAGGAAAATTTAGATATTCTTGAGGAGAGATTGTTGAAGGGGGCCACTTGTCTGTTCCTGGCCAATTAGACCTGATATAATCACACAGAAACTGTATTAATTAAATCATTACTTGGCCCATTAGCTCTAGCTTCTTACCGGATAACTTTTACATATTAATTTAACCATCACCATTAATTTGTGTATGACCATGAGGTCGTGGCCTACCAGCAAAGTTTCAGCACGTCTATCTCCAGCGGCAGATCCATGACATCTCCCTGACTCTGCCTTCTTTCGTTCAGCATTTCATGTAGTTTTTTTCACCTATCTCTGTTCCCTATAGCTTTGCTATAGGCCCAAAGCAATTTCTTTGTTCATTAATGGTAATTACAGCACACAGAGGTAACTCCCACATCACCTCCCCTTTTCTATTTTAAAAAAAAGGTTTTAACTTTAACATAGTAAAATTACATATAACAAAAAAGTTATCAAACAAGAAATATGGTTATAATATTTCTATTTACTTTATCTTTTATCATAACTAAGGAAAACTATAACTATTCTTCAACTACATCAAAGACTCCAGAAGAATATAATATTACCTAAATAAACAGGAAGTGCATTGTAAGCAACTTCCAAAGTTCTACAACTGGCAGAGACATCTCACTGCCTGGACAGTCACCCAAAGTTTTTCTGTACTGTTGTAATATTCATGTGTCATGTTGGTGTATTAGTCTGTCTATACTGCTGACTGATAAAGAATGATGTCTAAACCAACAATCCTCTTAGCGGTGCATTTACCTGACAGTCATGCGAAACCTAAGAGAAGAGTCCAGGAATCCCAGAGAAAAACGTTGTGTGAGTGTTGGGAATTGAATTCTAAATGCTGTTTCCATGGTATTTGGCACAAAATGTGCAGTGGTCTGATAGGAGACTCTTCAGAAGACCTTAGCGTTCATGATTGGGAACAACAACAGCAATTCACTGCAAACACAACTAAGGCTTTGTTACAATCTCACATTTACACATAAAAGTATTCTCACTTTTGCAAGGAACCCTTATAACCTCACATGGATTATTAAAAGGAAATCTTCATGAAGCAACAAATATTACTGAACCAAAACCTTCCCAGAACTGACTCATGATTACATGGCTTGCTTAATTTCTTGCAAAATGTCAAAGAAAAACTCAATTTGTCAATATAATCTTTAACAGTATATAAATATCAACCCATGTACCTACAAGTGCTTCATTGTTGATGTTGTTTTCTTGAAAAAGAATTATTGAAGAGTAATGTTATTATTCTTTGTATGTGAAGTTTTAATTGAGCAAATATTTTTATTATTCTGTTTTGTAGTTTGTGTAGTTCTATTTGTTTTTCAGAGGCTTTTTTTACTGTTAAGAAAAATTAGTCTGGAACTCACAATAAATTTGAGAGGAGTTTGGTTTTATTGCGCTGTCATAACTGGATGTCAACATGTAGAAGAATGCAAATAAATCCATATCTATTGTCATGTATAAAACTCAAGCCCTATTGGATCAAAAACTTTAACATAAATCCAGTTACACATAACCTGATTGAAAAGAAAGCAGTTAGTGGCCTAGTACACACTGGCACAGGATAATTCTTCCTGAATATAACACGATAGCAAAGAAACTGAAATCGATAATAAAAAAGACCTCCTGAAACTGAAAAGCTTCTGTAAGACAAAAGACACAGTCAACAAGACAACAAAACAACAGTCTAGCAAATGGGAAAATATCTTCACCAACCCACATCTAACAGAGGCTTGATCTCTAAAATATACAAAGAACTCAAGCACCTAGACATCAAATACCAAATAACTCAATTTAAAAAGTGGGGTACAGAGAATTATTAAAAGAAAAAAAAAAACCTCAAATGGCCAAAAGCCATTTAAGGAATTGCTCAACATCTTTAGTCATCAGGGAAACGCAAATCAAAACAACTCTGAGATACTATCTTACACATGTCAGAATGATTGAGATCAAAAACACTGATGATAGCTTATATTGTTGAGGAGGTGGAGTAAGGGCCACACTCCTCCACTGCTGGTGGGAGTGCAAACTTGCACAGTTTGGAAATCAGTATGGTGGCTTCTCAGAAAACTGGGAATCAATTTTCCTAAAAATCCACTGATACCACTCATGGACATACACCCAAAGGATGCTCAATAATTCCACAAGGACACTTGCTCAGTCTTGCAAATAGCAGCATTATTTGTAATTGCCAGAACCTGGAAACAAATGAGATGCTTCTCAAGTGAAGAATGGATGCATTTATATGATGCAGTATTACTCAGGATTAAAAAAAAATGACATCATGAAATTTGCAGGTAAAGGGATACAACTAGAAAAAAAATACAACCTGACTGAGGTAATCCAGACCCAGAAATACAAATATGGTATGTACTTCTTCAAAACTGGATATTAGATGGAAAGAAAAGGATAATCATGCTACAGTCCAGAGCCCCAGAGAAGATAGGTAATAAGGAGAACCCTAAGAGGGATGCATGGATCGCCCTGGGAAGGGGATATAGCTGAAATTTGAATAAACTAGGGGCAGGGGCAGGGAAAAGGTGGGGGATGTGAACATGAGATATCTGGATGGCCAAGTTGGGGGAGGGATGGAGAGGGCGAGCAATGAAGAAGATCTCTTGATAGAGGGGGGCCATGTGGTGTTAGAAAGAAGCCTGGTGCTTGAGAATCTCCCAGGGAACCACAGGGTGACTCCGATTAAGACTCCTGGCAATAGTGAAGAAGGTGCCTGAACTGGACTTCTCCTGTTATAAGATCGGTGGCTACCCTAATTGTCATCATAGAACATTTACCCAGTAGCTGATGGAAGCAGATGCAGAGATCCACAGCCAACCACTGGGCCAAGCTCTAGGAGTAAAGTTAAAGAGAGGGAGGCGGAACTAAGTGGGGTCAAGATCATTACAGGGAAACCCATATAAACAGCTGACCTGAGCTTGTGGAAGCTCATGAACTCTTGACAGTTAGGGGGTATGTATGGGACTGATGCAGGCCCTCTGCATGTAGGCAAAAGTGTAGCTTGGTCTGTTTGTGGAGCCCCTAGCAGTGGGACCAGGATCTGTTGCTGGCAACGAACTGACTTTTTGGAACCTATTCCTTATGGCAGGATGCCTCGTTCAGCCTTGATGCAGTAGGGAAGTGCTAGGTCCTGCTTCAAGTTAATATGCCATGCTTTGGTTGCTCACATGGAAGACCTTACTCTTTCTAAAAAGTGGATGGGAGGAGTAGACGGGAGGTGAGAGGAGAGAACAGGAGGAGAGAAGGGAGAGGAAACGGCAGTTGATCCATAAAATAAATAAAACAAATTTGATTTTTAAAAGATGCAAAAAACAAAAATAGTATGTTACAATGTAAGTTATATATAATGATGATTATTAGTAACAGTTAGTGAACAAAACCAGTTTCCTGAAATCTAAAAATATATTTATATAATTGCAATCAAGATGTAGTGACTTTTCAGAAGTTTACTATACAATTAGTGATCAACTGGATCATTTCAACTGAAAACAGTTTGAGTGAGTGGAAAACTCTATTGTTGATCAACGCGAAGTGAAGCAAGCATCCAAAGAGTAGACTCTGCTAGGAAACATTGTGGGAAATGCTGTAGGAAGAACATAAATCTCAGTGGACAGAACAAAAGCTGAGTTTGTAATCCCAGAGAGCACACTGTAGTGTGAGTTAGCACAGGAAATGAGGCTTACCTTTTTCCTTGGAGTTCTAACTTGAACTCTACCTGAATCTGCTTCCACAGCACGTGGTCTCCTGAGACTCACAGGCTCTTCTAATAGGTCCTTTATAGAGGCTCATCTGCTTCATGGTGCTCATGTGTTCTGTCTGTGTCATGTGTCTTTTCCAGTTAGAATGTATGTTTGATGAGTCAGGTGTGTTTTTCCTTTTGCTCATCTGCAGAAGTGCCTGAGTAAGTGGACAAGGACATACGTGTTACTGAAGTGATCAATAGCCTCCTACTTGGGCTGAGGTGTTAAGTTTAGGGGTTCGCTAGGTTATTGGTGATTGTTGGTGAAGTATTCATTTAATATAATGTTATGATGTTTTTCTTTTTACTTTCTCATTATAACAATCATGAACTACTTTTGAAAACACTTGTGAAATGTATTGTGCTAAGGTGATTGAATGTTTATAAGATGGTACTAAAAATTGGTGTAATCAGACATTGCAACTTCTATTCATCGTGGGGCAATTAAGTGAAATGAGTGCCTCTGAGTAGTAAATTTAGAAAATTATTTTAAACCCCAGAGCTGGATAAGCTTCTACAAGCATTCCCACACAGCTGTCTTTCCTAAAGTCCTCTTTGTTCTGCTTACACATCTTCTTTCATGGTGGTTAGGCATATAGAGATTTGTGTTAAAACAAGTACGACTCCCTTGTGTGGATGAAGTGTTTCCCAGATATTTCATTGCTGGCCTTTCTTACTGGCTGTTCTATATACAATGGTCATGACAGAAGATTACCACACAGAAAAGGTATGTCTGGCTGCTTACTGGGTTTCGTGAATAGGTTTTAGGGAGGAGCTATTGTGCAAGGAGGATATCTTTTGAAAGCTACTTGAAAGCTTTTCTATCACCAATCTTGAAGCAAGAACAAATTTTAGAAATAGGTTTCAAAAGAAATCATTAGGTAGTGACTGGCTGACCATCTTCTTAGTGTGAGACAAGAAGTGACAATAATAGGTAGATTTAGTGGTAAACAAGAAAACGATATGTGATTAGTTAGCCATCAATTGCTATGACAAAATATTAGAAAAAATATTAAATAAAAACATGCTTATTTCAGAGGTTTTTAGCAATAATTAGCTGGTTGTATTGGTCCAATGGCAGCATAGTGAACAATACTGGGTCTACATATACGAGAAAATGAAGAAAGAGGGATAGTGAGGAGGGTTCAGAAACTCAGTGTCTCAATAATTCAGTCACACCCCAGTTACCTGAACTCCTTTCATCATGTTCTTTCTTGTTGAATTTCTACTAATACACAGTTGAGGATTAAGTTTTTAAAGTCCAAGCTATTTGTGGATACCCTACTTCCAAACAATATTGAAAGCTATGAGAAATGCTAAGAGGAATTCAAGAGAGCTTGAAAGTGAATGGCTTAACTTCTACTTGTGACTGGCTCAATAGAGATATGGATTTATGTTCGTTCACTTCATGTTTGCTCTTCCAGTATTATTTATTATAATGCATGCATTGTTTCTATTTTCTGGTCTACTATGAACCTAAATGAATAGGAAGGGACAGAAAGCGGCAGAGATGCCAGGAAATGTTATGCAGTGATTGATTGAGTGTTGTTGTCTCTGCTGTTGGTGTGATCCTGATGGACAACACTCGTCTGTCAGTCAATGGATAGCACTTTTTGAGTCACTTGTCTCTAGTAGAGTTTCTTCTTCAATTAATGTATTTCAGACGGTCAGTTTCTTGAGAAAACACTAGTGTACTCCATAAAAAAGAGTTTTCAGTTATAGGAAATACAAATTGAGACCTTGTCAGCAATTTGTGCTTTATTTTTTCCAGACAAATTAGTGATTTGAGGATTTTTTAATTCTTTCATTCCATTCTAACAACATCAAAGGAATGCAAGTCCAGAGATATTACAGGGACTGATTATCTCTATTTTCCTTGGGGTGTGACTTGAGAAACAACAAAACAAAAGAAACATATTAAATAACCTCAATGAAATTTAATTTAAACTAAACAAAATAGGTCCTGTAAGACAGGAAGTGAAAAGAATGTTATCTAGAATGTCCTGTTATATATGTGTTGCTTTTATTGGTTGACGAATAAAGCTGTTTTTGGTCAATGGCTTAGCAGAAAAAAGCCAGGTGGGAAATCTGAACTAGTGTGTGTGTGTGTGTGTGTGTGTGTGTGTGTATCTATATCTATATCCATATCTATATCTATATCTATATAATTAAACTGCCATGGAAACAAGATGTGATAAACAATCCATCCATGAGCCTCATGGCAAAATATATACTACTAGAAATAGCTTAATTGATAGTGAGAGATAGCTAGTAAGAAGCATAAGTCATTGGCCAAACTATTATATTTAATATTTAGCCTCCAAATGATTATTTCATAAGTTCCTCGGGTATCGGCAGGCAGAGAAAAACCAGTCCAGTGGGACTATGTGAGACTGAGAAGTCTTCTCTACATCTAGCACCCAATGTGGAACTAACTCAATGGCTGACAAGGGAAGCAGCTTGGTCAGGTCTGCTAGGCATGTATAGGCAGGAAAGCATGGCAGATTCCTGCAATGTACAGAGACATTTTCTGGCCACACAACATGCTACATGGCAGATTTATCTTTTACTCAGAAATGAAGGATTTATGTGGTATATGGTGCTTCCCAGAGTTGAGGTGGTGAGCACAGGTTTTGATGAACATACCTCTGCCATGTTGAAAGACTAAGAGTGGTGGAGCCAACATCCAAGGCCACTGCAACCATGCCACTTGCCAATTTAAAAACATTCCTGGTTAGAAAAGGATTATAGATATACAATAGGACAGATTTCAGACAAAGAAGACCTCTAAATAGGAAACAGTCTGTTTACTAAATGCACATGAGCTTCAGAGAGAGAGGGGAGATAAAAGATAGACAGAGACATAGAAAAAAAAGAATCATTTAAGGGTATAAACTAACGTTCTTAAAGGAAAAATAAAATCATACAGGGTCATGTAAATATAAAAATACACTGGAGTCCAGATCATGTATATTATTGTGTTTTCATTGAATTTTCTGACTACAGAGAGATTTCATTCTGGAGTCTTCTAAGTTAATCCAATAAATGTATTTTAAAGGTATCTTGACTTAAAAATAGAGTTTAAAGATGTGTTGATTTAGGTAAGATGTTCTGCTTTTATATCCACAGAAGATGAAAATCTGTAGATTTCTTTCAGTCTGATGTTTGATAGAACAAGACACCCTGAAAGGTGTTCATGAGCCCTAAAGATACTTTGTCCACAGACAACAGGAAGCAGTTTGGAGAAAACTATACACAAACTCCCTAAATATTATTTATAAATGCTTATTTTTATTTTAAAGAAGTTGATTATATATGGCTAATGGTCATAATCTATCTCTTTCAAAAGGAAAAAATTAGGGATAGGATATAGAAATGATACATTGGAATAGATTTTGGTCTATTGGTACAAACTTAAGGTTAATTGTGTTACACTATATATATATATATATATGTGTGTGTGTGTGTGTGTGTGTGTGTGTGTGTATGTGTGTTTACTCTTGCTTAATGTATTATATTTGTATAGCTCATTAAAATATTATGTATAATTTAAAAATACTGATTAATAGATTGTCATCTATAACAATTAAACTTTTAATCATGTTAGGTTTTCTAGATACATAGAAATATAATTCAATTATATAGACTATCTTCAACACCTCAAAGATGTACAGAATATGGCATTTAAAATATTTTAAGAACTTATACTTTTCTCAAACTGAGACATGTCTGCTTCTGGCAGTGTCAATATACTTCAAGAGTATGATAGACATCCAAGAAGCTCTTTATGAAGTTTGCTAGGCATCTGGATAATAAAGACCTTTTGCCAGGACTGTTTATGCTGTATGAACAGGACATACAGGACCCAGAGGAAAATGATTGCTAAACTTAACCATCCTAAGGATGGTTTTTTAGGATGCCTGCTTCACAGTCAAAACTGCCAGACTTTCTGCAGGATGCAGAAGAAAGCAACTGAGTACCTTTTCCAGTAAAAGGAAGAATAGATCTTCAAAATTCCTATTTTCCAGAAAAGTCTGACAAATGCTCTAGGACTGTAGACTGAAGATGGTGCCCCAATGTTGCAAAAGAACTTTGGGTGACTGTTCAGGCAGTGAGAAGTCTCTGTCAATTTGAGAGTTTTAGAAGTTGCTTACAATGCACTTCCTATTTATTTATGTAATATTATCTTCTTCTGGGGTCTTTGATGGAGCTGAACACAGATTGTTATAGTTTTCCTTAGTTATAATAAAAGATAAGTTAGTTATAAAACTTTCGATTCACAAAGATAGAATAGTTGATAAAATATTTTCTTTAATTTTGCCAAATGCAAATTAAAACCTTCCTTCTTCATTAGACATAAAAGAGAAAATGAAGTATTGTATATGTGTTCCTTTTATTGGTTGATGAATAAAAGTATTTTAGCCAATGGCTTAGCATATTAAAGCCAGGTGGAAAATCCAAATAGAGACAGAGAGAGTGAGTGAGAGAGAGAGAAAGAGAGTAGGCAGAGTCGAAGAGATGTCATGTAACCACCAGGGAAGCATGATGTGAGGTAACAAACCACGAGTCTCACAGTAAAATATAAAATAATATAAATGGGTTAATTTATAGTGAGAGTTAGCCAGTAAGAATTCTAGTCATTGGCTAAGCAATTATATTTAATATTTAGCCTCTGAGTTATTATTTATGAGCAACTGCAGGTACCAGTGGGCAGACAGAAACCAGACTAGTGGGACATGGCAAGACACAAAAGTCTCCTCTACAAGAGGACTAGTGCCTATGTTGATGTTAAGAAAACAATTCAGAGGAGCATGCAGAAAGCAATTGCCAGTAATTCTCAGAAATATCATATTTGTATTTTAACATTTTCAGTACTGTTTAAAAATATCAAGGTAATGTATTTTATTAGATAGTTTGTGAACTGGGGGAAGATATCAGTACAACTGATGTAAATTCATTAAAAATATATGGATAACATATTGTATTATATGTAATTTTAGAATAAATATAAAATAGTGAGATTCTCTATTTACTTCTTAAAGCATCTTCAGTGTTATTTACTACTGCTCTCTCTCTTTCATTATGTGTGGCCTATGCCTCCCTTCCCAATTAAAGCCGCTCATATTTTTCTCCGTTCTCCTTTGCATCATGTGTACCTAATTTGTTGGTCCAATGAGTCCAGGAACCTCACAAAACAATACACATTATTTCTCTTATAGATATTGAAGTTAGATCCTTATTGCCTAAGATAGTATATACCTTTTACATTGAACTTGGTGGAATCAGAATAGATTTTATGTGGAATTCTCATCCCTGAGAACTTTTTTCATAGTACCAGTAGTTCCTATTTAAACTGCAAAGGGAAAAAAATTAATCAGTATTCCTCCCCAAACATGATGTCAACAAAGCACAAGAAGATATCTCTAAAGGGGCAATAATGGCATGTCTATCTTTGTAGTAACCAACGGCTGTCTAAACGGGCTTAGGCCCAGTCAATAGGAGTGAAATAATGTCTCTACTAAACCCGTAGCCAACTGCCCTTGCTTAGTATGGTCCTGTGTCTCAGAGAAGAACATAGGACTGTTTGCTTCTTAAACCAGAATAATTGCTTTCTAAATACTTCTCCTTATACCCACAGTTAGGTAGAGCAATTAAAATATCTTTAATAAATAAAGATATTTATTAAAGAAATATCTTTTTACATCAGTCCAGGACCGTTATAAAAAGCCAAAACTGATCAACATGCAGAGACAATCTGAACATGAGACTCCTTATGCCAAGGGTTGTGTATGTGTGTGTGTGTCCTTTTATTAACAAAAGACAGTAAAAGAAAATGAGGCCATGGATTTCAGGAGATGTTGGTGTGCTTGCGGGAGTTAGGAAAGGAGATGGACAAATATGTCACAATATTTTAATTAAAAATTAAATACATGAAAAATTAAAAGCACTTAGGTACTGTGCAGTTGCATAGCATTTGTATTATCATTTTACTTTAAAATTAGCCTATATAGAGTGCCAGCTTTTATAAAGTACTGAAGCTTTTTCAGTTCTTAGGAGAATGGATAAACCACAGTATCACTTTTTGCATTAATAGGATGGTAAACTTTGAATTGCCTTACTTGTAAACAAAACTCAGTTAATGATGACAAATTATGATGCAAATATCCCAATGCTATTGATAAATTTTGTATTACATGAACAAAAGATTGGTTCAAAAAATGTAATTTTAGACATTATCTTTTTAAAGAGTCAACTTTTACTAAAAATATAAAGTCCATAATATTCAAAGGTTATAAAAGCATAAATTTCTGAAATAAAAGAATTTTTGCAATCATGTCAAAATTAAAAACAATCACTGTCATAGACAAAGCGGCACTTCAGGAGCTTTAGATTGGAGTCAATCTTCCGTGAATCCCTTTTCAGGCACTGAAACAAGCTATGGAATGCAAAAACACGAAGGTCTTCATCAGGTGACTGCAAGGATGCCAGTCCCTTCCAGATGGGGTACTCCTCAATTTCTTTGAATCTGGGATAAATCTAATGAGGAAAAGCAAAGTAACTTATTATTAATGATTATGTGATGATCTTTATTTATTATCAGTTGTAAATGAACATTTGGTGGGAATTAGGATTGGAGAATTTCAGACAAAAGCATGGAATTTAATATACCCAACTATATTAAATTATATTAAAATGATTAATTATATTAAATTATATTATTATATTATAAGTATATTAAGTAGTGGGAATACATTGTCCACAAAAATTCTACAAGAGAGATACTTAGATAGTTTTTCTGGCCAAATTATGGATATTCTGGCATATAAGGCAGTGGGAGAAGCAGGAAGGTGCTACTTACCCATAGACATAAATTTTTTTTAACCAAGAAACAATATAGGACCTTGTATCAGTTTTGTCATGAAAGAAATTTAACATATCATAAGTATTGTCCCTGACTTACTATTTATTCTTTCCTAATTTTAAAAGAAATCATTGCCCATTTCCATATTTCAACTAAACCTCTTGCTGCAGAATTCATGGAATGGAAATCTTAGACTTGGTTAGAACATGACCTGATTCTTTCAGGTGCAAATATTCCAGGGATAGTTGTGATATAGAGCACTGGTGATATTGTTAGGAGCCTTTTGTGCTGCTAAAGAAAGATTGGTTCTCAGAAGACTATGAAGAACATCTATTTTATATTGAGATTCTTGAAATATGGAATAAAATATCCTGGAGAAGTTTTGTGTTACTAGTAAACCTTTAGAAGCAAGACTTTCTAAAACACTAGCTTACTAAATTTTGCTGTATCAAATTTCTTATTACAGGACTCATCTATCAAATGCACAAAAAAAGCAAAGGAACATAAGGAGACTACAAACCTTGCGAAGTATTCTTCTAACACCTTCTTGAAGTCCCTTCACTACTATTTCTACAATGTTAGCTCTTTCTATGATTGCAGTAGGGGCTTCTTCCATACCACTCAGCTCAGTCACGACATGATGCAGAGGGTCTTTCCAAGCTCCCAACAAAATGAGTATTTCTTGCAGAAGGACTATAGCCTACACAACCATAATTAAAGAATTGCATTACATTTTCTGAAATACAGCAGCAATATTAGTAGTTTATGTGGCATTCACCCCCAAAATAAGCATGTGTTATTACATATTATGAAATAATTTTGTAGGTGGTACATGTTATAGAAATACAAAATTCAGGCATTGATCTGTAGTTTGATTGAAAGACACTAAATAAATCTTATTGGATTATTACATTTTCCAATACTAAATATAGTTGATAATATTTTGCTTTCCTCTGAGAGTCTACCATTGGCCCTCCTGGACAAAACAATGTTTTTGGGTTTCTTTACTTGTACACAAGAAACTAAGAATGAGCAGTAAATAAATAGGTGGCCATAGAACCACATTCACATAAAATTGATGCCAACAATCCAGTGGCAAGCAGCCCAAATTCTTTCTCACAGGATTTCTTATACAATAAAATCCTGAAATTGTTCATTGATGCATTCATTTATAAATTCAAGTAATCTTAACACCTTATATCACATATCCTATGAAGTAAACCTGAACTTGATATTTTTGCTTTCATCAGTCTACATAAAACTCAGCTGAGGAGCCTATGTTTAAACATGCACAGGTGAAGATCAAATGAACAGTATTACTTTGAATAAGAAAAATGAGTGATAGATTGAGAAATAGCAAAAAAGCTAAGAGCACTGCCTATTCTTCTAGAAGATGCAGGTTTAATTCCTAATACCCACAAAGTGACTCACAGCCCTATGTCACTGCCCTCCATAGAGACCTTATACCTTCTTCTGGTTTTCTTAGACATGAGGGACACATGTAATATAATGTAGCACCCAGAAAAAAATATGTTACATAAAATAAAAACAATTATTTCTTGTTGCAAGGAACGGCTTATTTGTCCTGGTCACCCAGAACTGAAATGATCACACAGAAACTGTATTAATTAAATCACTGCTTGGCCTATTAGCTCTAACTTTTTATTGGATAATTCTAACATTTTAATTTAACTCTCTATCCATCTTTTTATCACCACGAGGTCATGGTCTACCAGCAAAGTTTCAGCACATCTATCTCCAGCAGCCGATCGATAGCATCCTCTGACTTCACCCTTCTTTCTCCTAGCATTCAGTCCAGCACTCTCTTGCTTACCTAAGTTCTGCCCTATCAACAGGCCAAAGTAGTTTCTTTATTCATTAATCATAATCACAGCACACAGAGGGGACTCCCACATCAATTTCTAAAAAGAAAAAGAACTGATGGGCAGAATAAAAGTTTGACCTCCCAGAGTGTGCTCATTGTCAAGATAACAGATGAAAACCACCTCTGATCAAAGTGTTCCTGACTGGTGTTTATTGGTAACGAGGTAAAAGGAGTAGAAAAGATTCTAATGATCCACTAGTGTCCAATATTTCATCATTGTGATATGACATAACATACAAATATGTTAGGCTTCTTTCATAGCTCTTCTAGCATGTATGTGCCCTTGAGATACAGTTTGGACATGGCTGCTAGGTATCGCATAGGAAATATTTAATATGATAAAAGGCTAAGTGAATTGTGATATAAAAAGTTTGCTGGAAATAGTATGATATGACTAAGTCATACGTAATAATACTTGAATTGGATGCAACGCACAGAACCGTTTTTACTGGCCATGCATGTGAAGTAACATCTATGAACTTCAGTTTTCTTATCTAAGCCACTGAAACAAGTGAGACTTGGGTAATAACTTTTAGCAGGATCTATTGCAACATTATCAGTAGACTGTTTTGTGAAGTTTCCAACAAGGAAGTTTATGTCTACATATATTATCTCATCATCTTTCTTCTTTCACTTTTACTTATGTTTTGATACTTCTTATTAATGAGAATAATATTGTTTTCACTAATGCACAAATTACTGATAAACTAGCACAATCATGGTGTAAGAACAGTTAGATATGATATACTCATGCTTGACGTTTGGCATTCAGGTTAAATCATGCTAAGTTTGGGGAAAGCAAGCAGGGGTGGCATGATATACAGACCCTGATATCACAACACAGGATATAACTGCATCCTGGAGATTGAAGTATCCTCTTTTTTCAAGAGAGGGTACCTCTGTAACAGCCTTAGCTGACCTGAAACTCGCTCTGTAGACCAGGCTGACCTCAAACTCACAGAAATCTGCCAGCCTCTGCCTCTAGAGTGTTGGGATTAAGGGTGTGCACCATCACTGCCTGGCGAGAATTGTAGTATCTTAAAAGAACATTTTGTTCAGCTCACTTTCAGTTAAGGCACAGGAGAAGGCAGAGAATTTAGTGAAAAATTGACATGTAGGTTAGAAATCAAAGGAGAACAGGAGGGCCTTCAAAGTCAACAGATACCATGCAAAGTTGAAAACATAGGAGCCTTTCCTCATGTATTATAAATGAAACTGTGTTTCTAATTCCTATGAATACAAATGAATACAGTTAAGCATGTATGGAATTCAGCTCAAAGTGTCCTATATAATAACAATGACAACCCCAGGTGTGGGCATTGGTAAAACAGGTTCTCTAAATGAACAATTTATGGATCTGATACAATATTACTTAGCTTTAAAATTTACTTATAATTTATCAACTATGTAACTTAGATTGTTCTTTTACTGCTTCCCCCTCCTCCATTCTTTTGATTGTATGATTGCACCCACAGTGACTACCTTCAAGACCAAGCCAGTGAACTCTTTAATTTTCTAGGTTAAAACACACGTTCAAGACTCACTTTCATCTGTTCAGTTTCCTCTTCAGGTAGCATGATTCCAAAGGTGGAAGTGTGGCAACTGCTTTGGGCCCCATCAAGGTACCACCTGCCTGATGCGTACTGGACATCCAGCAACTGAAAAAAAAACAGTTATCTTAAATTTGGAAATGAATAAGTTAATATATGATGAGAATACTAATTCATTTAAAGAGTGTATAACTTTTTAATCTCTGTGCATATAAAATATGGATGTGTGTTTTTGTGCTTGTGTGTCTGTGTGTGGTGTCCATATGTCAGTGTATAAAGAGTAAGAAATGTATAATTAGAGGACCACAGTTGTTTTAGTTTGTCTTCCACCTTTCTTGAGACAGTTCCTGGCTGTAGACCACTGTGCAAGATAGCCTAGCTGGCGCAGTAACGCTCAGGGATTCTCATGCCATGTCTCCCATCTCTCTGCAGAAGTGCAGGGTTTATAGAGGTGTCTTACTGTGTCTTGAATTTCAGGGATTATTTGGAAGCCTCAAGTTCTTGTGCTTGCACACCAAACACCTTATTTATCCACTGGGCATGTGGAAAATAATTCTTAAAATTAGAGGTGTAATTTAAAAAAAATAAAGACTAAAAGCTAAAAGAAAAAAATTAAAGAAAATCAGTTTTTTACCTAATTTTGAAATCACTGGGCATGTACTCTCCTTATCTTCCTGTCTAGCCTCTCAGCTTCTTCCCGTCTTAAGTATAACTGAGATTCCATGAAATTATTCCCTTCTTGATTTAATCAGTCACTGATGGTTTGTTTTCCCTATGAAATTTGTCCCATGATGTTGCTGCATTTATTCTTTAGAGTAGTCTTTGGCAGGAAAGTCCCCATTAGAAAGAAGGCAGAAGTAAGTGAGTTACTTACAAAGTCACTTAACATTTCTGCAGTTTGGTTTTGGAGTTCATAAGACAGGCTCAGGGCATAATTAAACATGTTCTTGAGGGTCCCATGGCAGGAACCATCCCAGCTGGGGCACAAAGGTACAGAGGCCACATTCTCCCACAGAACCAGGTTTGACACCAGCAGCACCAGGAATGTCCCTGCTAAATAAAAGGTGGTTGTCACTTGCACTGATCTAGTATTGCTAACCCACCTCCACCGGGCTTCTCCCTACAACTTCCTATCAGCTCCTGACTGATTCACCCTCCTGACTGCAGGTGAATTTTATTTAATCAAACACATCTCTGCATCATTAAATAAACGATCCAGAGCACAAACAAAAATAGCACACCTTAAAATAATATTCTACAACAGTTATTAATAAAATAGTTATATATAGCATGAACATAAAAATATGTGAAGTCTATGTACAACACATAGACACTATGTTTCAATATATAATATAAAAAATTACCAAGAGCACCAAAATCTGCATGTTTCAACTCAATAAATAGCCAATTCACCATTCAAAAAAAACGGTAATCCTGTGGGGGAAATCTTCATCACTCTGTGGGGCTTTCTGTATGATTTGTTTCTGTTAAACAGGACTATAGAACAAATCTCTTGCACTGTGCACATGTAGTTCCATAATTATCTTTGCACTAATAGTTTGGAAATGGGTGACTTCCCTTTTTTGGGATTGCTCCCAGAAGTTCTTCGACCGTAAGCACTAAGAGCTAATATAGTAATTATACCTGAACATTTTAAAGGCATTCTCTTCAGGTCATTATATATTTGGGGAATAAATGCTTATTTATAATATTCACACTCTATGAATTTGTAATATTTTAAACTCAGTTTGGTCCTTGATGTGACAAGGACAGCACAGGTCATTTGTTTGCTTCATTTACATGCTTGAGAATAACACCATGACTGTGGTATTTCTAACACCAGGGATGAAGAGAATCTTGTCATGAATGTGAACCACCATTCTAAATTTGATAATATTCAGTATTTAATCAAGAGGGTTTGGATATTATTTCTGGGGAATGGAAACAATGTAAGTGACCGTCTGATAAATAAATAATGAAAGCATTGTATATATACACAGTGGAATATTATTCATCTGTAAAGAAAAATGAAATCATGAATTTTCAGGCAAATTGATTGGATTAGAAAACACAATATACCAATCCAGACCCAAGAAAGAGAATATCACATGCTCTCTTTTATTTGTAGATATGAATCTTTGCATTTGATCACGTAACCTGAAGTATTCAAGGAAGACAAAGTATTAAGGACCATAAAGAGTGGAGGAAGAAGGGGTTCTAGAAAAATGCATATCAGAAGATGGGTGCTATGAAGTGGGTAATAGGGAAAATATGTGCAACTTTAATGAGGAGGAAAGAATGGTCATATATAGAGAGAAAAATAGATTAATAGCTCTAATGATGCTTTTAAAAAGCATATGCTAATATATTATTTTATAAGACACATATGTAGGTAGATAGAGGAAGATAGACGATAGATACATAGAAATATGAATAGAAAGGTGATAGATATATAGAAGATAGATAGAAGATAGATAGATAGATAGATAGATAGATAGATAGAAGATAGATAGATAGAAGATAGATAGATAAAGAGGGGGAGTCACACCACGTAAGCAATAGTGTTCTCTCCAAGAGAACAAAGCCCAGTTACAGATGTACCCCTCTTTTGAGTCATTGGTTGGAGAAATACAAGACGTCCAAAATTATTATGTCTTTGATAGCCTTGTTTTACCTCCCAGTTGAAGATATCCTATATTTGGACTTGGAGGAAGAGATCTGGAAGTGTCTTAGGCCTTCTTCCTCAGAACTCACTCTCATACTCTTAGAAAGTGCTGTGCAAAGTGTTACACTAAAGCTGTAACTGCTAGTCTTAATGAGAAGTGAAACCTAGGACCCACAACAAAGACTTGGTTGGCCAGACAGCCACAATTCTGCAATAGCTGTACATTTTCTTGAGATAATCAACAGCAGTTTAATTAGAATTTAAGACTATCTAATAGGAAAGAATTCATACCTAGTTCTGTTAAAAAATAAAGAAAAGGTCAACCACTCATTTTTGGAAAAATAATAGACACAAAAGCAAAACCTACACCTGTTTTTCTTAAGCCATTATAATATCTGTGATTTTAAATGATTAACTTTATACTCAGAGATAAATGTAGCCCTAACCCCTTATCAAAAAGTGTCTTTTTCCAACATATGGTAAATATTACAGAGATCCACAGCTGGCTAAAGGTATTAGATATCTGTGGATGTCCAACCGCAACTGATATATCTTTGAAGCAACCCCTAGACCCAAACTCAGGAAAAAAGTGGTTGAAATATTTTAAGGGAAAGAAGCTCTAGACACCAGTAGCGAGACAGTAACCCCTAGACATGACAAGGAAAATATTCCTATGAGCTCTCAGCAATAAAGTAGCCTAAGATCAGAATAATCATATTAGCAGTTGACCTGCCAATATATATAGAGAAAGATCCTCATGATCCCACCTGTAAAACCAGAATTACAGGTAGCCAATTGTTGCATAAGGAGCAGAAGGCCCCATTCCTGCCACCCGGCTCCCTGGCTAGTTTAAACCCGAAATAATTACACGGAAACTGTATTCTTTCAAACACTGCCTAGTCTGTTATCTCTAGCCTCTTATTGACTAACTCTCACATCTTGACTAACTCATATCTAATAATCTGTATGCCACCACGAGGTCATGGCTTACCGGGAGGATTCTAACCACTGTCTGTCTTGGGTAGGAGAAGCACGGCATCTGCCTGCCTCTGCTTTCTTTCTCCCACATTTCTGTTCTGTCTTCCCAGCCTACCTATGTTCTGACCTATCAGGCCAAGCAGTTTTCTTTATTAATTAACCAATGAAAGCAACGCATAGAAAGAAGACCCACCTACATCATTTAGTGACTGTTGAGAGAGTGAGAATAAATTTTCTTTCAGGCACAAACACCTGCAATGACTGTCTAAATTCATGTTCATCTCTGGGCATACATCCTTAGGAAAAAGACTAAATGGACTCAGGTTGGTTGTATGTACAGTTAATACAAATAATTAAAGGAAAGATCATTATTTTGCCAAGGTAGGATACACAAGATTCAGAGGTGGAAGAAGGGGTCCTGGTAATGTAGATGAAGTGTTTCGGAAATAAATTTTCAGATAAAATGATATTAAATAAATTCAAACACAGAAAATAAAACTCTGTCTTCAATGACATGGTAACAGAAGTTTTAGGAAGCTGAATTCTCCCCCTTTCCCCTGTCCTGCAAAGCACCTGCTTTAGTAAGTTTTCATGATGGCCAGTGTTGGTTTGCTCGTCAATGTTGTGATTCATCAGAGAAGCAAACAGAGGCCTTTCCTCTGCAGTAAGTTCCATTCACAAGAAGAAGGAGCAAAACTGCAGACATGCAGTTATTTTAGTGAAACTATTCCTAGATAATTTGTGAAAAAGAAATGGGTATCTCTGGAAGATGTCAATCATAACAGTGTGTAAAATTTAAAGATTTATGCACATAAAACACCTAAACTCATATATTCAAAATAAAATTTACTAAAGTACAATGACTTTTACAATATAAACACACACCATAACTAAAATTTAATGTTAAATAACTTATCCTATGGTTTCATTTCCAAAACTAATACTTTCAAAAAACTGATGTCTTTAATGTAATTTTACACATAAAACTTGTAAACACACATATATCAACTTATTTCATAAAACATTCTATTACCTCAAACAGAAGTTATTCAAATTCTATGTACAAAAAAGACAGTTTCTTAGCCCCTCCCCACTCTTTCTTCTGCAGTAAAATTTGTCTTATAAAACAATACTATGTGAATCAAATCTGCTATAAGTGCCAATTAGGCTTTATAAATAAATACTTTCCAGATTAATTCCAGTGAGTAACATAAACCACAAAACTAAAAGTGTTCCTTTTTTTCCCTGTAGGTAAGAAAAATTGTATGTAATTACTCTCATGTCCCAAATAAAATCAAATTTCTCAGTTTCAGTACAGTGATATTCCTGTCCTCATTTGCTGCACTATTCATTGGAAAATCCTTAAAAACATCCATGGTTTATATTCATTGGAAACTATCAATACCATTCCCTTTACTTCCCCACTTTAATTAAGAAAACCTAATATGCGACGTGGACATTGTCACACGTGTCCAAGACAAGGAGGCTTGCCATCTTTAAGGGCTAATATTGAGAGACTCCTTGTGCCCTCATACAGTTCTAGTCTAGAGAAAAGATTGCAAAGTTCTTCTAAATGTGATATTGTTTTCTTTCCCCTGAGATTTGAATTAATGTCTAGCCAGTCTTAGAGAACATTAGGAAATACAAAGAAAGGATCCCATTCATGCACAGGTAAGAGGTTACTTACGGGAACGTGGCTGGATCAAAGTTAGCTGCATCTCTAAAGAGTCCTCCTGCTGTTTGGTTCTGACTAGTGAATGCTGCTTCACAGGAATCCTACCTTTAGTAGACTTTCAACCTCTTATATGCAATAGCAGATTGCCCCAAAGGCTACATACACCATACGTCAGAAGGAAATAAGTTCTAGAGTTCTGGGTGAGGGTATCATGACTCTCCCTCAGGGAGTTTTAACAGCAATAACTACCGACCTAATTGTATCTGTATTGCTTTACTTACTTTCATGCTATGACTCCATCATATTTTAGGTAGTAAAATTCATATACACTCTAGATGCCTTGTGGTCATGTTCGTCTAGACAGAAATCAACTATTCTCATACATTGCCTCACATTTCGTCAGGCTTTTAGACCATTCTGTCCTCCACAATGGTTCCTGTTTCTTCTTGAGGATTACTTAGGTATTTGCGAGTACTGGGTTAAAATGGCACAACTGTCAGTTTTCTCATTAGTTTTAGTAATATGAATCTTCAGTTAACTACAAAATGTGTAAAGATTATCTCTGTATACATACTAAGGTGAGAGCCATTGTAATCAACAGTCCCAAAACACAAATGTTTTATATGTAATGTAATACTTCTATCACTCTCATTTAACAAACAGGATCAGTAGCATCCATGCTGGAGTCTACTGTCTTCCCGAGAATATATTTTTACACCCATAAAACAAATCATGGCTTTTCTTTCTGAATATATGAGGATAACGCAAATAAAACTGGTTTGGTTGCATGTGTCGATTGTGCCATCACTACACTACTGGCCACTTCATGCTAGGGTGGCTGATGACCAATGCTAGGGTGGCTGATGACCAAAGCAAGTGTCAAGTAGTATCATTGGTAACACCTGTGTCTGACAAACCTGTGTAGCACGTTTAGGTACTAAGAAAGTCATTTAATGTGGAAAGGGGTTCTAGGCTATTCTAAACCTTATTTTTCCTTGCTGGAGAAGCAAACTGTACGTTTCATTCACCAGCAGGATCTATCTAAACAGTTCTGATGTGTAGCCATGAGTAATGGCAGTAGTTTATATTATGTAAGACCTCAGTAGTCTCTATTTTCAACAACTCCAAGAGGGAAACCCACTCTAGACCTTGGGATTTTATTCAAACATTTTATCACTAGCAGACATACCATTTCGACCGACAAAGGTCCTTGCTTCCAAATTCTACTGCTGTCCTTATTGTTCTTTGTAGGTACTTTTCTAAATCAGGAAGTCATGTAGAGGTTTGTATTATATCATGAATGTTTAATAGAGGGTGACCGGTTTGAAGAGAGTACAAATTGTTAATGGGACTCAGCATCTAAAGGGATACTGAAAAATCTTATTGAGTTCTAATAAAACTTGGATCAAGCTTGGTTACACTGCTTTCTGCAAAGAGCAATGTTTGTTAACGCAGCATGGATTGGAAACACACTTTTTTCTTTTTGTATTGATTTTTATTCAGCTCTGCATTTTTCTCTGATCCCCTCCCTTCTTAAAAGTATGTGCCTTTCAGTCTCTTCTTCCTGGTATGTTGCATAAGCTGCCTTCTAGGCTACGTAGTCTCATTGTGTTACTTCTTGACATTGCTATGAACCAAGGAACAGTGTTGTTCATTTTTCCCTGCTATAGCCATTTTCCTTCCAGATGGCAGTTTTGATGGACTCTGACTGGCCTTGTAGCCATTGACTGTTTGTTGATTGCAAATCTTCTTAGAGGCCTGTGCCTAGGTGGACAATTTCTTCTCCACAGACTCCCATTTCACATAGCAATAGTTGTAACTCTCAAACTCTACAATAGTTATTCTGATAAGTGTCACCAAGGTAAAATCACTTTGAGCACACTAATTTTCATAGGAGAAAGGTACATACTATACTCTCTGATACAAAGATGATTGTACATTCCTAAAACTAACTCGATATTGTTCACTTTTTCTATGTTATGTTTTACCCATCCTCTCTTGCCCATTTCTCTGAATCTTCTAGGAGGTAGCTATGATTTGGTTATATTCATGCCATCAGTAACAAAAGCCCAAAGTGGTTGCACATTAGAAGGAAACAAAAAAAATCTTTAATTCAGTACATGGGCTCCTTAACATCATTTGGAGGCTCTGTTGGTCACTCTCTTATGGAATTTACTGTAATGGTTCCTATGCAACAACAACTTCTCTTACTTTCATAGTAATAAGTTCAGTTAGGTGACCCTACATCTGATACTTCAAGGATCCATTATTCAGATTTCAATGACTTCTAGAGGTTCATTGAATAAAATATTATCTGGTCCCTTGTCAACATTTTTTTTTATGATTCCTGGCATATTCTTAGCAGAGTTCTTGCCACATTCAGATTTTCATCAAACCTTTATTAGCTTTGTTTTTTTGTCAATTTATCTTGATTTTATTAACATTCAGATTTTATTAATCTTTCACATTGTGGCCATGATTTCATAGTGAGTCTCTGACTGGGCAGAATATGTTATAAACACAGAAAATTTTTGAGCCCTATCATTTTGTGTATCAGGCTGTCCTCTTTTAAAATTAAAGTTTTGAATGATTATGACATTTGTAAAAATTGGAATCTGAGTCTGAACTCTAAAAGTGATAGGAAGTTTTTACTTGTTTTCTGTCAGAGGAAAGGTCCTAACAACAAGGAGACAAAAACGTATAAATGATGTTTTTACTTCTCACAAAACATGTGTCTACAGTTAGGAAGAACACATGAGGTCCTCATCTTCTAATACAAAGAAACAATCCAGCTAATGTGACTCACTGTAACACGTAACAGTTAGATACGATCTGTTTTACACTTTTCTATAAATTATGAGATGGCTACAGGGATGGCTTCAAGGATAAAACGATACTGTATGTTCTCCTTCAGTTTAACCAGAATACAAATAAAAGAAAGAAACAAAGGTCCATTAACCCCTAGAAGTCATTGAAATCTGAATCCAATTTTCTTTACCAGTTTCTCTTTCCTTATTTGTTTGACAATAAGGACCTACATGTCCAGGAGTACTTTTGACTTGAGCAAGCTAGAAAAAAAAATCCTGTAGGTTTATTGGCCCCTATAAATTAAGGGAGGAAATTCTAAGTGGACAGTAGGGTTTCGGTGCTTATCTGACCCTTGGTTGTTATTTGAATGCTTGTGCACCTGGATGAGTTCATAATAAAGATGTTATCCATTTCAACTTGTGTTATTTGTAAGAAGTTCACAGACTCTTCAATTTCATGATATTGAGAGTTTTTGGTATTTCTTAAGGTTTTAACCTTGCTGTAGTTGTGTTCTTTGTGTGAAATAAATGTCCTTTAGAAGCGGTTGAGCGGTTTTCAGAAGGTGTGATAGGTGGGGGACCAGTCTCAACAAAATACCACTTGCCACGGTAGGGGTGTAGGGATTAGAAATATGAATAAAGAGTACAAAAGCAGATTTTAAAATAATAAAACAGAAATACAGAATAGTACTGAGAGGGAGCTTCAGTGAATACTGAAGTCACCCATGTTTAATTTCCAATTGCTTAAAATACCCTGACCCCAAGAGGTAGGAGTAAGATAAAAACCTGCATTAACATGATACAATGAAATGAAAAGATCAGTTGAAGGTCGGGGGCTACATCCATAGTTAAATATTCTGTTTCTAGAACAAAACAAGTCACGCTCACATCCTAGACCAAAATATTCTGTAGACAAACCACTCCTTGGGTGGAATACAATGTTATGTCCTTAAGAGAACTGGAATCTTATTAGTTGAATCCTTAGACTTTTCTTTGAGCTAGAAATACACTTGTTGAAAATAACCTTGAGAGAGTAGAACTCTCTATTAAAATGAAGGTGGGAGACCTTTGTTTGAGGTAGAAACAAAATAACCTTGAAGAAATAGAGGTAAGTTCCAACTCTCTCACCTTTGGTCAAAGTGGAAATAGGCTCACAGTTTGGGGCCTTCAAAGGTTATGTGACAGGAAGTTTTGAATTGCATTTGGCAGAACCCTCAACATGTTCCTTATTCTATAAATTTTGTTTTGGTGTTTGTGTGTTTATGTGTTGGCATAATGTTTATCTTCATTTTGGAAATGTGAAAGTCATTTAGATTTATTTTGGGTACTGCAGTATTAGGTGATATGAGATAAACAATCTCTACTGTTCAAGGCTTGAATACTATTTTAAATTTCTAACCTTAATGCATTGCTAAAGAAAGATTCAGAGGGTTAAAATTTTTAGAAAACTTATACATTTGTTTTAAGATTTAATAAAAAGTTTTAACAACTCTATTGTAAATATAAGAAATACTTATCTACTCCCTCTTTAGGGTCTCTAAATATAATTCTGGGCAATGAATCCATTTGAAGATCCAAGAGTGTATACTTTGATTTAATGTAACATTTTAAGTGCTGTTTTGTTCATTAAGCTAGTTAAAATAATTGGCTTGATGAATGTAGATAGAGACTCCTCATTCATTCCCGGCCAGTCAGACCCAAAATAATCACACAGAAACTGTATTCATTGCAATACTGTTTGGTCAATAGCTTAAGCGTATTTTTTGCTAACTCTTACATTTTAAACTAATGCACTTCTGTTAATCTGTGCATTGCCACATGGTTATGGCCCATTGGTAAGGTTCTGTTCAGTGTCTGGCGTCTGTCTCTTTCAGCAGCCACATGTATTTTCCAACTCCTCTTTCTTTCTCCTCTAACTGCTTGGAAATCTCACCTTGCCCTATTCTGTGCAGCAACAGGCATAATATAGATTCTTTATTAACCAATGGCAATAACAGCATACAGAGAGGGATCCCACATTGCCTCCTCTTTTCTGTCTTATTAAAAAGGGACAATTTCACTTTAACGTATTAAAATTACACATAAAAAAATTTATCAAGCAAGAAATACAGTTACAGTATTTAGATCTATTTTATCTTTTATCATAATTAAAGAAAATTACAGTTATCATTTTTCATTACATCAAAGATTCCAGAAGGATATAATATTACCTAAATAAACAGGAGGTACATTGTAA